AATTTTTCGTTCTTCTTGCATATGTATTAATCAACAGTCCTTTAATTTTTAATTAATTAGTTTTATTGAACATATTCAATCAAATATTAAAAAAAATCATTCACTTAAATTCCCAAAATAATAAATAAAACAAATATTCTTTATTTTATGTGGATATGACGAATTATTACCTTCAACAAATATACAATTTTTCATACATAGAAGTGCTTTATCTAAACCTGTTGTCATGGCCATTGGCCATGATACAGATTGAGTTATTAGTACGGTCTATATTGTGTTCTCTCTTGATATCATGCCTTACATTCTTTGATGCTTTTTTTCTCTCTCTCTATTCATGTGCTCGAGCCATCTCTCTGTAAGAAAGGATACATCATCGGTATGTCATGAGATATGAGAGAGGGAGGAGTGGATTGAAGAGTGCACATGCACGAGAGAGATGATTATACTTTTTGTCTGTGAAGGAGAGTCTGTTTTTTTGTTTTTTGTCCTCGCTTCTTGTTCTTATTGTTTTTTTCCTCAAAATACGTAATAAAGAAAGATGAAGTCGAAATTGACTCGTGGAGTAAATAAAGGGAAAACTGACAATGGTGCACTGGCCGTTCTGCTGTACCACTGAACAGTAGATCGACCCGCTACAACTGATTTTTTTCCTTTATATCGTTAGTGTATGCTCGCTGACGAACTTGCTCGAGCTCAAGCCCGTGCTGCTATACAAGCAGAAGAAAGAAACGTTCGTCACGAAAACCGTTCTCGTCTTCAACCTACATTACATCACACATCTTCTACTACTCACTACGATACTTTGTCTTCCATTGCTCGTATGGAAGACCATCAATACAGTCAAATTATCAATAGTATTCCAACTTTCTCGGGAACTCCGCATGAAAACATAAATGACTGGTTGGACATTGTGTCTTTGAAATTCGATATTATTGGCTATGCTTCTCGACGAAAACGTCGTTTTATACCACAATATTTAGCTGGTAAGGCTTTAAAATGGCATCTTGTACATCGCAATGAACTTTCATCTTGGGATGACTACGTCGCTGCAATTACATCTGCTTTCCCCCGTCTCATCACTACTTCTCGAGACATGCAACTGAAACTATTACGCGATCGAAAACAAGGTGATGCTGAACGATTTATCGATTATTATACTTCTATTATTGATCTTTGTCGTAAACATGCTGTCGACATGACCGATATTCAGATTATCGATTGGTTGAAAGCCGGTATGAAAATTCAATTATATGAAAAACTACAAGGTGAAGAATTTGATACACCACAAGCTCTACTTCTTCGAGCTCAACGTGTTGAACTTGATAACGCTGTTCTTGATGCTTGAAAAAGTGAATGTCTGATTAATCCAACTGATCTTTCAACGACGTCATCTACTCATTCCAATCTGCCTCACCGTGGGAATCCACCATCCAATTCATCGGTTCTTTCAACACCATACTCTACTTCACCATATCCACCTCTCTTATTGTCAACTGATCCTGATTTTCGTGTAACACCTTTTTCAACTACAACTGGATTTCGGGATTCGCTTCCTTCACAATCTCCTTCATATAACTACCGTGGTTCACTTCCTAACGTTTCTTCTTCCCGTCATCGTCGTCCTGTTATTTGTTATTCATGTAACCAGCAAGGTCACATATCACCTCATTGTCCATATCGCCCAAAAGATTAAAGGAGGTGTGGGATGGTCGCTTCTCCTTCAATGCTATTAATCCATCACTTATTATTATTCCTATAACTATTAATGGTTGTATTTTACACGCAATGGTTGATACTGGCGCTACACATACTCTAATTGCTCGTTCTGCTCTCGAAACCTTTTCACATCCTCCTATAAATAAATCTTTTACAACCACTGCTGTACTCGGTGATGCTTCCACCACAATAATTGTTCATGGTTTTGTTCGTCTGTGCATCTACGTTAATTGCGTTCCTACATATGCTTCTGTATTCGTTGTCAATTCTTTAGGTGTTGCTTTTATTCTTGGAATGGATTGGTGCCTTAACAATGGTGTTCTGTTACATCTTCGTGAACAACAACTTATTGTTCGCCATCCTGTGTATGGGCACACCATTGTTCATTTTTTGGATTCTGTTTCTATTCCGATTCGTCTTGCTCAATCAATTCAGCTTGCTCCTTGTCATGAACATATCGTACGTACATTTATACCTTTATCATTTGCTTCTTGTGTTTCTTATACTCCTGACAGAATTTTATGTCGCAGAAAGAAAATTTGTATTCCGGACGCTCTTTTAAAAATAACTCGTTTTCACTCTTATATATTAATTCATAATGCTGCTAATACACCTTGTACCCTACGTAAAGATACAATTGTTGGTACTATTGATTTTTTTAACAATTTCCCTACCCCAATAAATGTTACCACCTTTCCTTCCTCTCTATGCCTATCCTCTTCTCATTTACCCTTGATATCATTATCTTCGATTCAACCAACTTCTGTCAACCAAATATCTACTCTCGATTCGATTCTTTGCGCTTTGGTTAATCATATCATTGATGAAGAGGAACAGAACGATTGTCTT